CCCTCCCTCTCCTCCCCCTACCTTGACACCTCCTCCCCCTCCCTCCCTTTCTCCCCTTCCCTCTCTGCCTCTCCCTCATTCCCCTCACTCTCTGCCTCCCCCTCTTCCTTTAACTCCTCTCCCTCCTCCCCATCCCTCACCTTCACCCTTTTCCTTGCTTCCTCATCCTCTTCCATCGCCTCCTCCCCATCCCTCACCTCCTTTCCCTCTTCCTCCTCCCTCTCCACCTCCCCTACCATCTCCTCTTCCCCCGCCCTCTCCTACCCCTCCCTTGATGCCGCCTCCTCCCCCTCCTCCCTCACCTTCTCCTCTTTCTCCTCCTCTCCCTGTTTATCCTCCCTCTCTTTCTACCCCTCCCTCTCCTCTTCCCTCTCCTCCCCAGGTACCCCTTCCTTCCTCTCCACTTGCTGGTTCTCCCCACCTCTCTTCATGACCTCCTGTTCCTGCCCCACGTTTTCACCCTCTTCCTCCTCCCATCTTCCTGTCTTCCTCCTTCAGTTCTCCACCTACTTCCATCTCTTTCCCCATCTTCCTCCAACCCCCTCCTTTTCCTGTAATCCTGCTATTTGATTCTGGAAATTTTTCATGGCCTACATCTGCAGCACTTTTTCAGTTTCATTCTTGAAATAGGCTTTAACTAAGTGGCCGAAGTTGAGCTGCCTCACCCTCTCTTCTTTTCAGTTCTAAGGGAGATAAGACACTTAGTCTGAAGACATAATCATCACTGAATAGGAAGGAGTGTGGTGCACATCCTTATGTTGAGCCAAAATAAAAGGCCTGAAGGAGGGCTGAGGACCCCAGTGAGCCCAAGCTAGACACCCCCTCACTGAATTCTCAGCATTCTTTCTTCTGTCAAATCAATGTAGGGAAGCTCTTCTTTGAAGCTTTCCTCTGTTTCCAGCAGCTTTGAGGTGTCAGTTTGAGACTACCAGGAGGGAGTAGCTGAGGGAGTACCAAGTGACAATCTGAAAAAGTGAGAGACCTCAGATACCAGAACAGAGGAGTTTCACTGCAAGTGTTTGCTGTCAGCCTAGTAGAACCTAGGCAGGACCTACAAGCTACAGCTTAGGACTCAGCCTACTGAGAGTTCTTGAAAGAAAGAGTGAACATGAGGCCTTGGTTCTAGTCAAGATGACTTATGCCTGCTGAAGGTGCTCATAGGATCTCATTTTCCTTACTCTAGGTAAAAGAGTCACGTGCCATCCTACTCGAAGTCTTACCTGCTGTCCTACACCATAGCCATCATGCCCCGTGGACACAAAAGCAAGCTTCGTGCTCGAGCAAAACGCGACCAGGCCCGAGGCCATCGCCAAGCTGTCCAGGATGCTCAGGAAACTGCAGCAAAGGAAGATTCTCCTTCTTGCTCCTCTCCCATTGCTGCGGGAGATGCTGCTGCGGGAGATGCTGCTGGCCTTCCCCAGGAGTCTCCAGGAGTACCACCCACCAGCACTGGTGCTGCTGCTTCTGCTCCTGCTTCTGTTTCAAGCAAAAGATCAGACAAGGGTCCCAAGAAAAGAGGACAAGCAAAGGAAGCGGCTGCTTCCTCCAATGTCCGACCCTATGGTGCGATCTTAACTAAAGATATTCTGGTGAAGAAGGCAGATGTAGTGATGAAGTACTTGATGTACAAATATAAAATGAAGGAGCCCATTCTGAAATGGGAAATGCTGAAGATTATCCACAAAAGGTTCAGAGAACAATTCCCTGAGATCATCCAGATAGCCTCTGGGCGCATGGAGCTGATCTTTGGCCTGGAGTTGAAGGAACTCAACCCAGGTAGTGGTTCCTACAGTCTTACAACCGTGTTGGATCTCCCCACTGATAAGAGCCAGGCAAATGACTTTCCCAGAACGGGGCTTATAATGTCTCTCCTTGGCATCATCTTTTTGCATGACTACTCTGCTCCTGAGAAAGATGTCTGGGAATTCCTGTCCATGTTTGGGATCACTGACAAGAAGAAGCATTTCATCTTTGGAGATGTCAGGAAGCTCATCACTAAAGATCTGGTTCAGGAAAAGTATGTGGAGTACAACCAGGTTCCTGGCAGTGATCCTGCATGCTATCAATTCCAGTGGGGTCCCAGAGCCTATGCTGAAACCAGCAAGATGAAAGTCCTGGAGTTTTTGGCCAAGGTCACTTGTTCTGAGGTTCGTGACTATCCGTGTTGTTATGCAGAGGCATTGAAAGATGAGAAAGAGAGAGCCCAAGCCAAATCTGCAGCCATGTCTGAAGCTAAGGCTCAAGCCCGTCCAAGATCCAAGGCCAGCTCCAGCCTCTCCACAACCTAATGATATGTGAGGCACAATTGTCACTTTGTCCCTTAAAATGCTGGTTAATCTTTGTTCTTGTTTTCTGTGAATAACGTTTAAAAATTCTGTTCTTACATCACTGATTGGCCTACTTTCCCTCAGAAGGCTTATTTAGGTTTACAGTGTAATTTTATAGATGTTACAGACCAAACATTCATTAGTGTTTGCCAATTTTAGTGATAAGGCATTGGTTTGTTTTGAAGTACAAGTTGGAATTTGAGAAAGCGCTTTGATGATGCACACCAAGATAAAATACCACTGAGAGGGGCATATCCTTGGAAATGTAAAACATACACAGTAAAACATGGGAGCAGCTGTCTGGTAGTTAACTGTTGCATCAACTTATTTAGGAAACACCCAACTGACTGGGTCAGCATAATTCTAGGTGTGGTTGAATGGATTTACTGAAAACAAAAGACCCAGTCTGAATGGAATTAAAAGGGAGAAGAATGAAGGCTCACTTCTGCTTCTTGTGAGGAGCTCCGGTCTCCTAGTGTCGACCATCTTAACATAGACCCTTCAGGCTTCCGAGTCCTATGGGACTCTACAGTGACTTCCATACTCTCTAACTGAATTCTCTGGGTCTCTGGCATGCAGACAGCTGTTTTGCACTCTCACACCTGACTCTGTGGGTGACCATTGTAAGGCTAATTGTAAATCCGGATACATTTACATATCCGATTCTAATCTGTTTTGGAGTGTGACATTCACATAACATATTAATCTGTATTGTAGTGTGCATTGACTGATGCAAGTTAATAGAGGGAAGAAAGTTTCTCAGTTCTTAGTTTGCTTTACTTATAGAAGGAGAAAATTAAGTTTCTTAGTTCTTAGTTTACTTTACCTAATTTTTTCCTTTTGTACAGTTGAATGACTTATACCTAAATATACTTACATTGTTCAAGAAAGTGTAAGAAACTAAATCTGCTGGGACAGGGGTTTAATACCCGCGCTGAGCCAGCGAATGAGTCTGGGCGTGGTGGCTCATGCCTGTAATCCCAGCCACTGGGGAGGCTGAAAACAGGAGGATCACTTGAATCTGAGCTGCATAGTGAGACCCTGTATCAAATGTATTAAAAGAAAAGAAACTACATCTGCCTTCAGGAAGCTTTCAAGCTTTGTCCTAGAGCTCTTAAGACAAATGAGTCAGCTCTAGCTCATGGGATGATCGATTCTGGGAGAACTATCCCTATGTAAGTGGTGAGAGTCTCTCAGTTTCATAGATAAGTAGAAAAGAGTGGAAGTGAACATGGAAAGAAGATATGACTTAATTTTCATTTATAAGCAGCATTTTTGCCTAATGTTTTTTTTTTTTCTTTTAATTATTGTCTGTGAATACTAAATGTTCTGTGACACTATCTGGTTTAAAACTCTTTGAAATATTTGAGGTACATGCATGATGATGTTTCAAGTGAAAATCATAGTAGTATGCCAGTCCTCAATGTCTTCATAAAAGGTAGACACTATCACAGAACTTCACTTATACTACTTCCCTTTCTACAAATCATAGCCCATTAAATCTCTAGAGTTCACTATTTGACCGTCCGGTCAGTTTTGTTTAGTTACTTTTGATATTTTGAAAAAGAACAAGAAGTTCTAAATTTTATTTTTTTATTATTATTATTTTGTTTTTTTGAGACAGGGCTTTTCTTTGCAATTTAGGTTGGCATTGAGCTGACTTTGTAGCCCAAGGTGGTCTCAAACTTGCAGTGATCTCCTGCCTTAGCTTCCCAAGTTCTGGGATTAGAGGCGTGTGCTACCATGCCCTTTTTTTATTTTTTATTTTTTTTATTTTTTGCGGAACCAGGGATTGAACTCAGGCCCTTGTGCTTGCCAGGGCCTTTTTTATTTTAAAGAGTAAAAGATAATACACGTTAGACATGGTACAAAATTTCAACAAACAAGATACTAATTCAACAATGGTGGTTATGTTGCATATTGTCTTTAGTTGCTGAGGTTACCAAATGTAAGCATGCAAATAAAGTTAAACTACAGTATTTTATATGTAAATGGGTATAGTGACCATACTCATAGGTGAAATAAATCAGACCCAGATATGTAAACATCATATTGTCTCCTTAGTGTAAGAATCTGAAATAGTCAATTCTAAAAAGAAAAAGATACTGTGAAAGGGAAACTGCTGACAATGAACACCTGGGATGAGGGAAAGGAGAAAAGAAAGGGAGAAATACATATATACACGGGACAGCTAAGAAAATTGTACTTCTAGTTTCTATTGGTTTATTGAAAAGAATAGTTAATGCTTAACATTCTTTTGAAGAAGCAGTATTTTTGTGCATGGCTTATTTCACTTAACCTCTTACAGATTCACCTGTGTTGTCACTAAAGACAGTATACCCTCTTTATAGCTAAATGGTGTTCCACCAAGTGTATGTACCACATTCTCTCTAACCACTCACTTGAAGGGCACTTAGGTTGATTCTGACTTAGCCAATGTGAAGTTACTTTTAAATGGTCTACCACAGCACCACTAAATCACCTCATCTGTGAATAGGACTTAATTGTTCAAATGAGTCACTCTAAGGTATTGCTATATTCTTACTCCTGCTTATCATATGGACTTTGACCTTTGGACCAAGAATAATCTTTGACTTTCATGCCATTGAGATTGATGTGTTTCTACTTCAGAGGGCTACTTGCACTGCCTAAGAAAAGTGAGTGGAACTTCTGAGATGTTCAAAGACTCATTACAGGAAGGATTTTGTACCTATTTGTCATTAATGTGGACTTTTGTAACACATTTTACTTTAACACAATAAAAGTTTAAAAATTCATTTTCAAGGGAACTGTTGTCTTTACCAACTGTGAAAGATTTAAGATATTTCACAAAATGAAGTAAAGATTGTTGACTTGCCAAATCAGTTAGTATCAGCTCAGAAGTGTTAGATATGAATCCACGCAATCAAATAGACCAGGCATTCTGATGCAGGTAGAAGATTTATTGGGGGCATTAAGCAGGCTGGCTGGTTTTCAGACCAAAACAGCACCAAGAGTACATGCAAGCAACAGGTTTTATTCTCAAAACTTTCAGTATTTATCTTCATTAATTGTGGGATTTTCCCGGTATAGAGATAATTGTCGTCTATTCTCCTCTGTATGGAAAGTGTCAATTTTCCTCTGGCCTCTTTCAGGATTTATTATTGATCTTTGATTTGTATATTTGCAACATGATTTACCTGGATCTGAGTTTTTGTTTTCAACATTAATCTTATTGGGGTTTTCTGATAGTCCTAGATCTGTGGTTTGATATTGGAAACGAATTTTAGAGAAATTCTCAATCGTTATTATTTCAAGTATTTATTCTGTTCTTTTTACTTTTATTGACTTTTTTCTCTTTTTCTTTCTTCCTCTCTCTCTCTCTCTCTCTCTCTCTCTCTCTCTCTCTCTCTCTCTCTCTTTTTTGTGGAACCGGGGATTGAACTCAGGCCCTTGCGCTTGCCAGGAAAGCATTTATTCCACTGAGTCATCTCCCCGGCTCCTTTTATTGACTTTTCTCATTGTGCTTATCTCTCATTCTCCTGACATTTCTGTATGTTTGTTCAAACATTTTATTTTTTTCCTCTAAGTTTTGGATGTTTCTATTGGGACATTGTTACTCAGAAAGTCTTTCCTCAACTATGGGAGTCTATAATAACCCAAAGACATTCTTCATTTCTGTTACTTCTAGCATTTTTTGATGGGGGGTATTTCTGAAAATTTTCATGTCTCCGCTTACATTTTTCATTTTATCTTACAGACTATTATTAGAAACCATAGAATTTAAGGAATACTTGGTTCTAATCTCAAATCTGATGATTCCAAAATTTCTGTTTTATCTGAGTATGGGTACAATGCTTGCACTACTTCTTTAATCTGCATTGTGTGACTATGTCTTATATCCACCACAATACACAAGGACAAAAGAACTACCATAAACAAGCTTTTGGGTATGTGGTGGTAGGATATTGGAAAGAGGAACTTTAATTCTGTGACTGCCCATCACTCATATAGTGAGTGTATGCCTATGGACTATGATTCTCACCCACTTGCCTCTCAGCTGACTTCCAAATCCTCAGCTGGAACAGGACGACTCCCATGTGTTAGAGTTTGGTATTTTCCTGTCTTTATGAAAGGCAAATTATTCTTCCATTGGATCCTTTAGTTCTGATAAAAGCACAGAAATTTAGGGTTTGCTTAGATCCCTTGACAGCAGACCTTGTTAAAAAAATAAAGCAATATTGTAGACATATTTCAAAATGCTGCCTTATCTCTTTTTGCTTGGATCATGAAGAGATTGAGAAACTGTGGAATTCTACCTGGTGACTGAGCACCAGATAATAGGTTAATTATGTGAGATTTTAGTTCTTGCATTTTGTACCAAGAAACTTCAGTTCTTTGTATTTTTCTGTTGGCCTTTTCAAAGTTGAGGGCAGCAAGTTACCCTGGAATCCCACTTCTCTAGTAGGTCAAAGGCTTAAAGAATCCTTGTATTGTCTGTTTCTTCAGATTTTAGCCATTAAGATGAAGTGGCAACTTGAAAGCTTCTCACTTGACTGACTTCTTTCCTGTTTTATTAATTAATTAATTAATATTTTAGGGAAGGGTCTAAAGGGTGTTCAGCGTCTCTCAGACTCACAGTGATCTGCCTGTTCACAACCTCACAAGAGCTAAGATTACAGGTGCGCGTCACCACGCCCAGTCTCAATTGCAGTCTCAGAGCGCCCCGGAGGTGAGGCTGGCATGGCCCCTGCGCCTGCTTGCGGATGCTTTAATGTGCTGAGCCATTTGGCCTGCCCTTGTTTTATTTTTTGAAGATAGATTTTTTTTTTGCAGGGAGGGGGTACTGGGAATTGAACTGAGGACCTTACACTTGCGAGGCAGGTGCCGTGCCTCTGAGCTATATCCCAGCCTGTTTTATTTTGGTTTTAAAGCTTTGGTTCTTGTACGTAAATGCTGTCAGGTCCTATGTAGTAAAAAGT